GCTAAGTTCCAAGCAGATGATGAGTTTTCTCATGCTTTGGAAGTAAAATTATGCTGGTTTTCGGAAACATGTTCTGGATATATGAAGTTGTGCGGGGATTTTGTAAACTATTATCCAATCACGAAAGACTAAGGGTTGACCCTGAAACTTCGATGGTGTCAACCGCGTGAAACGCGCAGTACCATAGATCCGGTTTGTGTGACGTAGTACTAGTACTACTAGTACTATGATCCTACTACTGGTGCTATCATCATTACTAGTACTAGTACTAGTACTAGTACCAAGGCAGCATTCTCTTTGCTCCTACTACTAATAGTATGTAGTAGTACTACTACCACTCGTCCAAAGAACAAGAAAGAAAATTTTGGATTCATAATATTCTTTTCATCCTCTTCTCTATGTGTCCTACTACTACTACTACTAGTAGTAACAAAGAGACAAACATTGCCTCCTCAGTGTAATTTGATTCCTTGTTTAAAGAGAGGACCTACTACAACAAGAAGCCAAAAAAGGCAAATGCTACTATTGGGACAGGTTGGTCCACATACTAATTAACTTTACCTGGTGTGGTGCTGTGTTGTTGCCAAATATTGCCTCCTGCACGCACACCATTATGTGCATTGAAAAAAAGAAAGATAAAATCACCATTTACTTTCTTCTTGGCCCCTGCAGCTAAGTAGGCTGGTGCACGGGTTCAAGACGAAGAGAGTTGGAGAGTGTCAACTATTGAATAACTACTACCACTACTACTACATCTAGCAGCAGCAGTGGTAAGAAAAGGTGGCAACAGGAAAAAGCGACAAACTACTACTACTACTAGTACAACTAGTATTATAGTACTAGATTTTTTTGGTAAGAAGTATAATGATAAAAGGTAGCTATTAGTAGAAGTAGTAGTACTAGTAGTATTAATACTAGTAGTTGTGGTCGTGGTGGTACCACCCAATGACTCAGAACTATTATGCTGGTGTATTGTAGTAACAATAGTTAGTATCATCATTTTGGCCTTGTTGTTGTTCTTTCTTCTTCTTTTTGTTACTCCTTATTGCTGTATTGCTGTAGTAGTACTGGTACTTCTAGTACTACTAGTAGTACTCCTGGTGATTTTGATGCCTGACCTCCTCCTCTCTGGAGGTGCCACCCCTTCTTCTTCTTCTTGGATGAGCACGAACTGGTGGGAGTAACTGTGAGTATCCTCCTCCTTCGAAGTGATGTTTCTGACCTTCCTTGTACCTAATAGTACTAGTTCTCAAGGTGAAATATTATTTTTTTTCAGTAGTACTAGGTACTAGTAGTAGTACTCCTCGACGTTGGTGTAGTACTAGTACTAGTAGTACTAGTACTAGTGAAAGGTATAATAGTTCTTGTCCTGCTAAATAGTATGGTTTCTCTTTGGAGGTGTACCTCAGAGCCTCCCCCAAAGTAATTTGTCCTGGCCCATCTAGCGCCTCTTGTAGTTAATGAAGATTAAATGTATAATGAAGATTTGTTTTTAATACTGTAGTAGCATGTGTTGTTGGTTAGTTGTATTTCGTATTTCTAGTGCAGGGATGCAGACCATGGCAATTCATAAAATGAGACGAGTCGTGTCGTCGGCGAAGCTAACTTCTCCGAAGACTGCGACTGAAAACTCTCCAGTCGTGTCGGTGTGCAACCTAAAATCTCTCCGTGCGTGTTTGCGTCTACTGTTGCCGACTATGAACCATTTGGTGGTGATGCTTCGTTGTCTAACTTCAAACGAATTACTCAGATGACGATCACATTCAGCACGAACTAGTAGAATTCGCTCTGCCCTGACATTCGAAGCATCTTCATCCCCCTTTTTCTCATATTCTCATACAGAGAATTGAATCAATCCTCTAGTCAATCTACATTCCACGAGCGACTCAAAGTGAAACGAAAACAAAACAAATTCGACACCAAATCAATACAATACAAAAAATAGAGAAAAAGAAAACACTGACGGTCTCTGAAAAGAAATGAAATCCTCAATCCTTCGTGCCGTTGCACTTCCCCGAGCAGGTCCTTTTCCCACTCTGGACCCTTTTCTGTTTACGGTTTATCACGTCGATGACTATCCAGCAGATCCATCGGGAGGACGCATGGAATTCCTTACACCGGGAGATGGACACGATTTTGATCCGTCCGCTCCTTATAGAATGTACCACGGAGATAAAGTTCCGGGCTTCCCCCAGCACCCACACCGTGGATTCGAGACAATCACTGCCACGATACAAGGAGTTGTTGACCATGCTGACAGCGCAGGAAATGCTGGGAGGTATGGTGAGGGTGACCTGCAGTGGATGACGGCAGGGAAAGGAATTGTTCACGGTGAAATGTTCCCCCTCGTCAACCGAGACAAACCTAATTCCACCCAGTTTTTCCAAATCTGGCTAAACCTGCCGAAGGCCAAAAAGATGGTCGACCCGAGTTTTGCCATGTTTTGGGCTCCCGATGTCCCTGAGTGGAAATCATCCGATGGCTTGTCTAGCGTGACGGTGTGGGCAGGCGATTACTTCTTGGAAAAGGGAGTCGAGCAAAACAAGCCTCCGCCAGATTCTTGGGCGAGAGACCCCGAAAACGACGTTGCAGTCTTGCGTATTGTAGTCAACCCTGGAGGCAAAATGGTGCTCCCAAAGGCCAACAAGGGCGAAGAAGGTGTGAATCGCGCCATGTATCTTGTTGAGGGTCTCGATGGCATCAAAATAGATGGGAAAGTCGTCGACGAAAAAGTATTCTTGACCCTGGATGCCACAAAAGACACCTCCCTCGAGCTACCTGCCAATGCTAAAACGTCCACAGAGTTCCTGGTGCTACAGGGCAAACCAATTAATGAGCCCGTGGTACAGCATGGGCCATTTGTCATGAATACACAACAGGAAATTCGGCAGGCCTTTTTTGACTACCAAAAAACGCGATTTGGTGGATGGCCTTGGGAGCGAGACGATATGATCTTTCCTTCAAACAAGGGCCGATTTGCGCAAGTGAACGGAGTGGAGAGTTCTCCCTTTGACTCAGTGGATCAAAAAGATGGCATTAAGGAGAAGAAAACAAACGAAGCTGAGTTATGATAATTTCGTGCGTATTCGTATTCGTACCGATCAAAGAAGTCAAGATCAAAAATATGAACAGGCTAAAAAAGGAATTAAATTTACATTTGCGAAAGAGAAAACCAATGTAAATGTTGCGAAAGTCCCCAAAGTAACGAGAAGATGTGCTGGAATGTATACGGAGATGATTTAAATCAATGTTGCTGAGACAATTAAAGGGCCAATATGAAATTATACTATCACTCCTATCCTGGCGTCAACTTGTTTTTTCTTCTGATAGTTTGGTTCCGATTCTAGTGGAGTTGCAGGCAGAGCGATAGCGCCGAAAGGTATTGATACCAACCAAGATGAAGCACATTCTACACGGAATCAAGTGGGAACTCTGCTGACCCCTCTTCGGAACAAGTCGAAAGAAGTAATACTTCCACTTTGCCGAATTATCGGGAACCGCGGCTGGATAATGACGTCCCGCAAAAATTACTACTGAATCCTTTCTGAAAATTATCGACCGCCTCTGCCACCACCGCCTCTGCTGCATTCCGTCTGGAAAAATTCAACAATTGGATGCAATTCGGGTTGTGAGAGTGATTATCCATACCGCATTAACAACAGTATTGGAAGACATTAAGCACGCTTTCCATGTACGTGGTTGCTTTGTGGAAAGGTAGAATAACTACCATGAACCAAAATGAAAGGACGCGCTCTGGTAGCGAATAAATAATACTAGTAGTAAATTGAATCGGAATCATCAACTTCTGATCGGATTGTCTGTTTTTACTTGTCGCAAAGTTTACAACCTACTCCATGGTGCTCGTAACTCGTACTTCTTGAGGTACGAACCGTACTGTAGGTCGTGTGTTTTATGACGACTGAATGAGTTGGGTCTTGGCGAAGAGTGAAGAAGCGAAGGACAGACGGCCCGATCGCGAAGAAATAAGAAGTACTTCCAGCGAGCACACACGGGCGCTTTTTTTTCAAAATTTACGCGATTACGCGATACAGTGGGGGGGTATTTGAACGTAATGCAACAAAAAATGCAACAGTAGAGAATCATGTACAAGTCTACGTACGTACACCTCGCTATTATCCTACTCACCAGCACAGCATCGAAATCCCCCAACTGATKGGTGTCAGTTGGGAGGAAAAACTGACACAATTTTCAACAAGGCAAATTCTATGAAAAAAACACAAATCGTGAAGGTAATTCTCAACAACCGACGATCACAACAATGACAATGGTGGTGCCATCTTCTTATCAGCTATTCAACTTGCTCCTCTTGTTGAGGCAATCAAGCAACAAAGCAGTCACAGTTACTACTAATGATACTACTAACCAGAAAAAGCAGTCACACTTAATACTATTTTAATGAAGCAAACAAAGCAACGCATCGAAGCAACGCATCGAAGCAACGCATCGAAGCAAAGCAACGCCGCATCAAAGCAAAGCAACCAAAGCAATGAATCAAAGCAAAGCGACGAATCAAAGCAAGCAAAGCAATGAAGCAACGCATCGAAGCAACGCCGCATCGAAGCAATGAATCAAAGCAAAGCAATGCCGCATCAAAGCAAAGCAACCAAAGCAAAGCAACGCCGCATCGAAGCAAAGCAATGAATCGACGCAAAGCAATGAATCGACGCAAAGCAACGACGACGCAAAGCAACCGAATCGAAGCAAAGCAACCGAATCGAAGCAATGAAGCAAAGCAATGAAGCGAAGCAATGAATCGCAGCAAAGCAATGAATCGCAGCAAAGCAATGAATTGCAGCAAACCAACCGAATCGAAGCAAAGCAACCAAATCGAAGCAAAGCAACCGAATCGAAGCAA